TGAAACAATAACATATCCATCACCAGAATAGTGTACATTGTACCTGATAGGTAGATTTTAATCCCTCATACTCCTCACAGCCTCCCCCTTCTTAGTTTTCAATGTCCATTACACTTCTTTTTGAAAATATACATCCCTTGTATAGCTTCCACGTATTAGAACATGTGGTGTTTTTCTATTCCTGAGATACTTCACTTAGGATGATGGTCTAAAGTCACATCTCAGTTGCCGCAAAAGACATTATTGCATTCCTTTTTATGGCCTAGTAGTATTCCATGGTATGTGTGTGTATACACACACACACACACACACACACACACACACACACACACACACAGAGTACATTTTCTTTATCCACTCATAAGTTGATGGGAACTTAGGTTGATTCCACATCTTTGCAATTGTGAATTGTACTGTGATAAACATTTGGGTACTATAGATGTCTTTTTGATATAATGACTCTTTTCCTTTATGTAGATACCCAGCAATGGTATTGCTGGATCAAATGGTATATCTACTTTTAGTTCTTTGAGGAATCTCCATAATGCTTTCCATAGCAGTGGAACAAGTTTACATTTTGACCAACAGTATATAAACCTTCCCTTTTCACCATAACCACTTCAATGTCTATTGTTTTTTTTAACTTTTTAATAATGGAATTCTGACAGCAGTAAGGTGGTATCTTATTGTGTTTTTTGTTTGCAATCCCCTGATAATTAGTGATGTTGAGTATTTTTTCATAAGAAGATAGACAAGAAGATGCAGCTTTTTTGTAAAGCGTTATTGGATTTTATTTCTAATTTGTCTTTATTTTGAAGCATGCATTCATATTTTACATACATTCTTTTTGGTTCCAATTCTAAGAGTTTTTTTTTTTAATTTCACACAAAGAATTTATTCTTCCAGAGTTTCTTAGGCATGCTGTACTTTTATTTAAGTATATATGATATTGTGACATGAAAATTAATACATTATTTTAAAAATGGGAATGTGATGAACAATCAGTTCATTGTGGAGATAACTTTCCATTGCCAGCAAAAGTAATTAAACTTTTCCTTAAAACTTTTTATTTTATATTTTAGAGCACTTTGAAGAAATAAAATAATTCATTTCATATGTGTTAATTTGTTCTTTTCTTTGAGATGTCTTTGGAAATTGGATTAAATGTTTCTTCATTATGTTTTTTTCTTGGTAACCATTGCTAGGATTCCGTTTTCTACTTTTATATTTTTGTTATTGATTGCTAGTCTTTTAATGTCTTTCTAACTTACTTCATATTTGCTGTGTCTGTCTAGCTATATAATTCCTTTTATTGCTGAGTGGATTAGCTAAAAACATTAAATAACATTTTAAAACAACAGTGGAGCAGTATTCTGAAATGACAACAAAAATTCAGTTATATATCAAGACTCCCTACCAACTCCATTCAGTGAGACAGCACAGTCAAGTGGGCTGTCACAGAAAATTCATAGGCCTGGCATGCCATCAGAATCTACCTAATAAGATGTTTAGAAATAGAAGGCAGCTGATGCCATGACTACTTCAAAGAATTCTGCAAGCTTGGATTGACATCGGGTCTTTTCACTGCCTGAGATAATCAAAGAATCTGTGTAAATCAGCCTCTCTTATTGACTGCCAAGCAAAGCAAAGAACAAAAGCACCTGAAGTCAACTCTGCCATCATCTCTTAGGCCAAACTGTTCCTTTCAGCTTATAGAATCTCATGAATAGAAAAAGTTAGATTTCTAAAAATAATTTAAGGCTAGGTATTTGGTTTAATGTTATGCTATATTACATCCTAATGAATTATATAAAAATTCTACAGATGTGCATTGAAGAGTATTCTGTTTTGCTTTTAGCCAAAAAAGAAAAAATTTTAAACAATACCTGAGCAGCAATTACTACATGCTGTGATTGGAAAGTTTCCCCAGCCACCTGTCACAATGCTGAAATTTTATCATTTAGAGATCAGTTTCTTTGGAGGAGCTCTGAGTAGGCTATAGAAAGTCTGTTCTGCATTACAGAGGCTCTGCTTGTAACAATTAGCACTATTACCTGAATTAGTATCTGATGTAAATTCTAGTTGAAGTTTTGACTGACAAAAAGGGAGACTGTGTTTGAATTGGATCACAGGGCAAGGTCTTGTTCACTGATATCAGATAGAGTATTTTTATAGAAATAGATTACACAGAGGGAAGTAAAAGTCATAGGAAATCAAGAAGGGGGAGGGATTGGAGGGGAGGGGCATAAACTCACCTAATGGGTACAATGAATACTATTCAGGTGATGAGCATATTTACAGGTCTGACTCAAGCCATGTATCAAAAACATTTCTACCCCCTTAATATTTTGAATTTAAAAAAAAGGAAAAAAAAAGAAATAAAGCTTTCTCCAAATAATGTCCCATCCTATTCTGACACTTTTAATACAAAAAAGTAATAGGTAGTTTTATTCTCCAAAGGATACATCTCTGAACAGTAGCAGCCTTCTTGTTCCGATTTCTTTTGTAAATCCATTTTTGCCATTGACTGCTTTAACTTTTCTGTTTTCCTCATTAAAAAATCCTTTTTATACCATTCATCCAGTCACAAACATAGCTTTTGTGCTTTATTCTAGAAACTGGTATTGAACATTGAACAACACAGCCATAATACCTGACCTCATTAGATCTCATAGTTTAAAGGCAATGCAGACAATTAGTGGGAAACTACAATGTGTTGTGGTACATGCTAAGACAAATACAAAGTGCAAGAAAGAACAAGATAATGACAAGTATGTGAGGTGTAATGGATATGTTAAATAGTTTAATTTAGCCATTCCAAATAGATCCACATATTAAAACATTATGTTGTATACCATAAACCTATATAATTTTTTCTTGTCAAAAAAAAAAAAAATGAAATCAAAGAGAACATAGAATTATTTACCTGAACTTAGAGGGTATTGGGGATAGCCACTTGGAGAAGATGCCCACGTTTCTGAGTGTAAACTCAGAGAATAAAAATAAATTAGCCAATAAAGGGAAATTGGAGGTGAGATTGTTCCTGGAAAAGAAAACAGCATGTTTAAGAACAAGAATCAATAGGGACATGGTGCATATTGGAAAATGAAAAATAAAATTTCTCTATAGCTAAACCAGGGAGTAGAAGACACCAGCAGGGCCTATAGCATGAAGGGACATTTAAGCCATATTCAGGGATAAGGCCTTTATCCAAAGAAAAATAAAGAATCACTAGAAGATTTTAAACAGAGAACCGTAATTTCATTTTGTGGAGAATACACTGTAGCTTCTTTGCAGGTGAGATGTGGCTGGATAAAATACCAACCAAGAGACTGGTACTATATTTTAGGCAAGATGTGATAATGACCTTAACTAGGGTAATAGCAGTGGAGAAGGGAGAAAAGGATGGAATCAAGAAATATTTAGAAGTTATATTAAGAATGTATTAGTGATTGATTGATTAGCAGCTAAATAATAAAGGACATAATAGAGGAAGTAGAGATATCCAGCATTATGCCTAATAAAGGGAATAATTCTTAGTATTTCACTGAAATAGGAAGAAAAATACAGAGAAAGAGCAAAAGCATATTACAGAGGTAAGAAGTAGGTAAAAGGGGGACACACAATGAGTCCACATTTGGTGGTAGTGTTAAGTTTTGGCGGCCGTAGGACATCTAAGTGGAAATATCCAGTAGGGAGATATTTGTGCAAAAATGAAGATCAGGAAGAAACCTGGATTTGAGACATAGAGTCAAGAGTTGTCAGCATGTGAGGAGGAATTGAAGTTAAGGGTATAGGTAGAAGGAAAGAAAGCCTAGGAAAAAATCTTGAAAAAGTCAAAATTTATGGTACTGTAAGAAACCCTGGGCATCATTAGACTTCCAATTCCTTTTCCTTTAATCCAGATGATTCTAAATGTATTCTTACTTGAGCAACATTGTATTCTAGCTTGGCTTTATTAAAGAATAATGATATCTCTAATATCTTTTAAGGTTAAGAACCAACATTTATATTCATTATGTCATATCGAATTTCCTGTATATAATATAAATATCAAGATAATTTATAAAAGCCCAGGCATGGCCTATGGTAACGATAGTTATATTGTACCAGATAATCATATCTACACATCATATATTAAGGGAAGATACTTTGTATGATGATGACTTAATGAATGCCCAATAAGTTGCCTGGTCCCATTCCTTATTTTTATAACTATTCTTTTAAAGGTGAACAGATCCTTGAAGGGAGACTTTGCAATCTGTGCAGCATGCTATTTATACTTGAAAAATGTTAAATTATCCTAATCATACTTATAGTAACAATCATGATTAATTGCAGCTATATTAGGATTACTTATTATTTGTTCTACTTCAGCAGTAACACAAATCCAATTGTACAAACAATTTCCATAATCCAAATTGTGAAAGAAAGTAGGGGGAAAGAGGTCATACAAAGCTGGTTGAAATAGTATTCAAAATAAATTCTTAACCAGATGGTTATCTAAAATTCCCTTTTTGACAAGGAGCCCATTCTGAACAGATTGTATATGTGTCTCTCTGGTAGAAGTGGATTATCTGTCTTGAATTGGATTGTGATGACGATGACCCTATTCTAAGCAAACCAAATCTCTTGAACTATATAATGAGATCAGGAGGAGCATTCGGCCTGGGAATGACAGATTGCAATGACTGAGATGATTTTGCTAATATTTTCTGCAGCCTCTTTCCTTTATGTACATGATATTGTGGTTTTTTTCCTGCAGAGACCCCTGATCCTGTAGTTTTGTGTGCTAATCATTTCTTATTCTTAAAATATATATATATATTTTTAATTTTTACAAGCAGAGCTGAATGAGTGGCAGGAAGCTGCGGAATCTATCTTACAAAAAGGTGATTGTGGAAGAGTCTAGAATCTTCATTTACTTTGCAGCAGGATTAGAGAAAAACTATCAAGAATTAACATTTAACTGATTCACTCTTACTCCTTCTTCTCTTTAGGCCGTGAGGAGGCAAAAGTTGCTTGAACAGAGTATCCAGTCTGCCCAGGAGATGGAAAAATCCTTACACTTAATTCAAGAGTCCCTCACATTCATTGACAAGCAGTTGGCAGCTTATATTGCCGACAAAGTGGACGCAGCTCAAATGCCTCAGGAAGCCCAGGCAAGTACATCTGGGAAAGAGCTTCTGTTCTTTTGATTTTATTACCTAAACAAAATATTGCTGACTTTTTATTATAACTTGAAGTTTATTCAACTAGTTGTGCAGGAGGTTGTTTTGATTGACTGACGTGACTATTTGGAAATAAGAGGGAAAAAAGGGTCTTGATTAGTACTCTAAGGTTTATTTTTGAAAGCATGTAATAGAGGAATTTCAAATAGAGACACTTAAAAGACAGGAGCTCTAAGATCTGTTGTTTATCAATGTTTTCAAACCATAGTAAAGCTAGAGGGAAACCATACACATGTAAATGGTAAAGAAAATATGTTTTATGGTACTATTAAAAAGCAGTCTCGAACAACTCATCTGTGTTATCATGGAATCACAAAGCACATGATATCTATATTGTTTTACATTAATGTTCTACGAGCATGTAACACAAAATTATCGATATAAATGTATGTCTTATTACCAATGATCATACTGGATATACACACATGTACACACTAACACATCCACATACATTCAAGTCTTAATTCAGAATGAAAATTAAAATAATGGAAATAAATCTAAGTTGACTTTAAAATTTATAAATTTAGGCCATATCTAAATTTACATTCACTTAAAGAAGTACTTTTAAAATGTTAAGTTTCTATTTTAAAATAACATTTATATATATGTAATATATTTGTATCATAGGTATTACTTATTTAAATGCCTTTAGAGTTGTATCATAGTAAGGTAATATAGCTACTTTTAAAATCTTCTGTTCATGTTATGGACCCAAGTATAACCAAGTATAACTTAGACCTACGTGCTATGATGTGAGAGGCATTTAAAGGTTATCTAGAAATCTCAAAGACCATCTCTCCACTGATTGGTGGAGATACCTGAAGTTTTTCACTTTAAAATCAATTTTAGAGCAAAATATTGGCTTTATAGATTATGGTTACAATGTAATTACAGTGCAATGAATCATAGTTAAATTGGTGCCCAGAGCATCAGTGTACACAATAGCATGAATTAGTTTACCATATTGTCTAAGTTTGACCAAGAAAGTCCCTGATTATATAAGGCAGAGCACTGCTGGTTTTGATAGGCCTAAAAAGTCCAAAGCAAAGGGTTCCTTATAAAATGCACACCTTTGCAATAGAACAGCGGATGAAGAAAGAGAAATTTGGGGAGAATTCTAATGATAAAATTCTCATCATAGTTTTTCACTGGGACAACAAGAGTAAATACTGTAGTACAAATGGGGGATAAAGGTAAACATACTTGAGGATTTTATTTTTTAACTTTTTCATTGATATATAATAATTGTGCATATTTTGAGGAGTGCATGTGATACTTTGATACATACATTTTTCAAACTTCCACAAATCTAGTCAGGTTCTCTAGCATTAAATATTCCTAAAATTATTTAAATTTGAGTCCATAGAAATTTTTTATTGATATGTACATATTTATGGGATATATGTGCTATTTTGTTACATGTGTAGAATGAGTAATGATTAAGTCAGGATATTCAGAGTATCCATAAGAGATAAGTTATAGTAAAATGCATTATAGAAATGAGGAATTGTTATTGAATTGGGTAAACTACATGACTGTAAACTAAAATCAGAGTAGAACTGCCTTTAAAAAAAATTTAGTGACATGACCTTCAAGGAATGTTTGATTAAAGAATGCTTATAACTTTGTGAATGAGATTAAGGAAATTTTTGAGCAATATAAATAGTAAACATTAAAATTATAAATTTTGACTTTAAAATATACAAAAGGCTACTTTTTAAGGATTGTAAAGTGAAACTATGAGTAGCAAATTTGATAGGAAAAGGCTATTATTGTCTTAGAAGAAAAATGGGAGCTTTTAGGGAAAAAAATCTTATTTAGTTGAAAAGGTTGTGCATTTTCTTTTATTTAGACATGGACACAGGATTCTATAAACATTAATAAAATATAGTAGTTTTTAATGACAATATAAATGTTTTCTTTTCTCAACTAAAAAAGCTATAGTAAAAATATTAACTATAGCAGTAGAAAAGTATATTCAAGTAGCAGAACACAGGTAAATTAAGAAATTTCAAATATACTTCAAGGAAGAGATTCTTAGAATACTAACAAGCCCAAATCCATTTTCCATGCATTTCTTGTTGCACTTGAATTTTTAAGATAGTTCTTGACATTGAATCCCCCCAAAGGTAATATATTATATTGAAAAATGCAAGCCACCTGAAAACTATTAAAACATTCTTCTTCTTCAGGATTTTATTTTAAGTTGTCAGCAAGTGAATTGTTTTCAGGAACAGAGTTATCAAGTGCTCAGATTTACTTCAAGGATTGTATTTCCTGAAGTTCAATTTAAAACTCCCATGAAAGAAAAAGGTAGAGACTAAAAATTTATCCGTAGAATAAGTATTTAAGCACAGTGTATCGTACAGAAGACCAAAGAATGCCACCAAAAGAACAGTTTACATATACATATATGTGTGGGGGAGGGTGTGCACGCGTGTGCATGCACATACATACAATGGATGCTAATTGTAATGCTTTCATTAACAAAAAACAAATCTGTTTCTATAAATTTGGATAAAATTTATTGCTAATTAAAATATTAGTGGGACTTAATTTCTCTTTTCAGAAATTATATATTTTAATTCATTGCTGAGAGTGGGACAAAATGAATGATATCACCATACTTTGTATTCTTTTAAATATGTGCTCAGATTTTCTGTCCAATATTGGTCAGATAGATTTGTGGATATCTAACTCCACCGTGTGGTGCACTGATAGTTTTGCTACTAAATTTAAGTCTGTTAATAGAGCCTTCTTTTTCTGCATTTTTAGATTATTTGAGATCCTCAGGCATAAAAACGGTTGTATTCAGGAAATGTATGCAATGTGTATAACTTTCTGACAGGTATACTCTTATTATATGTAAAAGAGATGTAGATCAAGATACTTACTTTCATTCACATTTGCATTTGTTATGATAGGGAAGAAAAGAACTTCCCACTTCCTCAACATGTTAATTGATCAGTTATCAGTCATGATTAGAAAACTGTGCCCTATGATTCTGAATTGGATTGAAAAATAGTTTACTTTTTAATTTAGTCACATGACCTTATATTAAGAGAAGTAAAGCTTAACCTTTTAGACAACAAAACTACATATTACAAGGATATCAGAGCATGTATTGATCTATGAGTATTTTATTTTAAAAAATAGCACTTGACCAAACCATAATCTTAAATTATATGACCACAGCATCAAATTGCCCAGTGCCAGTCCATTTAAAGAGAGTTTTATTAAAGTACAAAATTAAGATGACATCTTATTGATTCAAACAGAATAAAGAAAATAGGGAAAACCCTTCTAGATATTGAAATGTACCTTCTAAGTACAGAAATCGGAAACTTACAAACTATGGTAAAACTACAATGACTAAAAATATAACAATCTATTAATGTTTCTTTGAAATAATTTCTAAAAAATCACCAAACTGTATAACTTCAACAAAACACATGGCATGAGTTTAGCTGTTTACTGCTTAATTTTCCAGAACATACTGAAGCACAGAGTTTTAGTTTAGTCACCTAAAATCCATTATCAAAAATCCAAGTACCCAAGCTGTACCCTAGACCAATTAAGTCAGAATCTCTGGGTGGATTCAGTCATCAGAATTTTTAAAAACTCTCCCAGTTACTCTAATTGTAGCTAAGCTTGAGAATGTCTATGGATAGTTCATTTCTGGTAATGACTGAATTGCTCCTTTTTTTTTTTTTTCTTATCCTACTTCTTACAAAACTTTTATAAGGATTCTTACCTATGGCTGTGTTAAGAATTCAATGGGAGGGAGTCAGAGTGGCAATTAAACTACAGGTGACATTCTCTCCTGTTTTAGTCATTCCCTCACTTATGGAAAATGGGTGAAGATAGAAAATATAGCTGAGAACTACTGCACAGAGTAATTAATTTACAAAAACAGAAATTTAGATATGGATATTTTAGGCTAACCTAAGCTTTATTTCCTTATATTCATTTTTTTTTCATTCCACAAATGTTAACATATCAATCAGCTTGGATGTAGCTCTAAGTCATTTTAGGGGTCAGCGACAACTATATATATAAGTAACTACTTGTAATTTATTAAAATTACAAAGATATTTCAACACACACAATTTTCCTGTTTCTAGTAATTTCAGTTTCTGAATCTCCAATAGGTAAGAACAACCCAACATGGACACCTGTTGAAATTCTCCATGCCATTATGTTTTGATGATGTACATTTTATAGAGGAGAACATGACCCTGTTACTTAGATTACAAGAACCAGTAGAGTTGCCTAATAGTGATTGTAATAGCTTAAGTATGCTATTTCTTCTGTCCCATATATTTCTTACCCCATCTCTTGCAATGTTGTGTCCCACATAGTAGATTTATGTGCATGAATAGAGAAAAAAAATGGAATCATTTAGGAAACAAAATTATCATCAAAGAAGAGTTCCTCATAATCACAAAAAGAAAAGTGCTGCTACGTTTGGCCTGGACTTTTGGGTATTCCAGGTTTACCACAGACCAGATTTCTTCCTTCAGTGTATTTTCTCCTCCCATTAACAATATGCCTAAAGTTTAGACAAGAGAGCTCTTTCTTACCAAATAAAACTATTAATTTAAACAGATTACATTAGCTGCACATCAAAAGAATTTATAATTGAGGTCTAGGTCTTATTATATTTATTGAAGAGGTTAAATCTTATAATTCACATTAAATGTAGTTGGTCATATTTAAATGTAAATGTTTCAAACTATCAAAATCAATGACTTAAAAAATAAATATCTAATGCAGATTTTGGTCAATCAGATTGAGCTTATGATTTCATTAGGAAATAAAACAGCTTTTATAGTGTAAATAGGCATATTTGATTGCCAAATGGCTCAGAACAGTCTAACTTTACAGCATACTTCACTAATTTATTAATTAGACAGTATAAACCTGCAAAG